TTTAAAAGTTCCTTATAGAAAAAGTTGTTTCAGTTTTATTATATTGTGTTCAGAGATGTCTCTTGTATTTTTTGCATTGGGGGTGGATTTCTCAAGATTCTATTTGTAGCCTATTACATGGTCAAATGTTTTCATCTTCATGGGTATTATAAAGAAAGGTGGGCAGATTGTTCACTTTCTTTAATGAATAACTCTTGGAGTTTCATCGTAGAGGTAAAAGTGACCAATCTATAAAGTGCTAGAGGGAAATCTACAAACGAACTTTTAAATTTACCTGATGATTATCCTAAGGCCCACTGCTGGTCTTTGTCCTTTTTCATTCTGAGTTTGGAGTTTTTTAAAGAGGCTTTGTTAGAAAGAACAGCTGTTGCCTCTGGTGATTTGAGCTGCGATCTTCTCTCCTTGGATATCTCTATCAATCTAATCCCACCTACTTTCTATCTCCCAGGAGTATCTCGGTATTTCCGGTGGCCCACCAGCACCTTTTCTTGTTTTCCTGTACTTTTAAGAAATTATCCTTAAAAATTTTTCCTCCCAAATCAAAGAGATGTAGGGTGGGATAGGAGGTGGACATATGGGCTATATCTGCCATCTTGTTCCAACCATCTGTTTTTAGATATGTTATATATTTTTGTTACTACAAGAATGTAATTTTTCTCCATTTTATTCTCTAAATGGTTAGTATTGGTATGTAGAAAACTTGTAAAGTATTCTATATAATATTTTGTAACCTGGCTATGTGCATGTTCCTTAGTTTTGAGGGGTTTTGGAGGGATGGATTTCTTCTTATGGGGGGAGTTGGCTTATAACAATAAACATTTTATTTGCTCAGGATTTTGTGGGTCAGCTATTTAGGTGGGACCAGGCAGTTCTTTTGCTGGTCTTGTCTGGGATCTCTCATACAACTGCAGTCAACTGGCAGGTTAGTTGGGGCCTCAGCTAGGATGAGTCTGCTTCTTGTGGTCTAATCCTCCAACAGGCCAGCCTGGGCTTCTTCACATGGCAGGCTTTAGGTCCTCTGAGATCTGTTGCTTCACCAGGCTCGGTTCTGCAGGTTTCCTTGTACCGGTCCTGGCACAGGACTCAATTTGTTTTATTCTCCAAAAAGAAAATTCATTTTAGAAGGCAGTAGTTATATAAGGACAATTCATTGAAGATTTCACAGGGGAGACTAATAGAGCTAAAGGAGGTATATATTTTACAGAGATGAGCAGTTCACTGCAAAAATCACCTAACTACTTTTCTTCTCCAAAAACGTCACCATTAAGCTATTTCACCGCTGGTTCTTCTATTCCTTCCCTCTAACCCCAATCCTCAAATTTTCCATTTTTTATTGGGTCAATTTTACTCTGCCCAGACCTGGATTCTCCACAATCAACACTTAACACTGTCTTCAAGTGTTTGAATGTCTACTGTTTTAGCGCAGGTTCCCAAGGAAACAGCCTTCAGGCCATATAAAACATCTCCAGACTACAGAGAAACCATGCATACAAAGAAAGGGAGGAAGGAGGGAGAATTTGTCTGCCCGGCTCACTCCCAGTTTTTTTTTTTCCTTATTGGTCAAAATGTACCCCACAGGTATTAACTCCCCCACACTTCTAGATTGCATCATCTGGCCCCTGGGGCAGCCGTTTGGGTAGCCAGATACCACGCTTTGAGGTGTAGTGTTTCATACATTCCAAAAGTGTTGGGAGGAGCCAGAAAGTCCAGGTGTGCAGCTCATTGGCCTGTCTTCAGAGCAGCTTTCAAGCAGAGTTAAATAACCCCAGGCAAGTCCTAAATTCACCTGGTAGTTGGAGTAGCCAACTGTGCTAGCTAATTGCTTTATATAGAAAAAAAATTAAACTCCTATCTCTATGACAAGCAGCTGCTTACAGCTTGGAGCCAAGCGCCCAGGCTAAACTCCCAGGTGACAGAGAGGTGGGGTGTTTATCTTCCTTAACATCAGATTTTAAAGAGATGGGTCTGAGGCTCTTAAGAAAGACATTTCTGGATTATAGGCTGGCAAGAGAACTATTTAGCTTTTAAAAATATGTACATACATATCAAAGGGGCAGAAGAAGTATTCAAAAATCCTAGGTTTCTCAAGGAAATGCTTGAAGAAAAGTAAAAGAGGGTAAGTCTCTTTCTGTTTTGGCAACAGAGAAAATTCCATTTGATGTTTATTTACACTAACAATTTCCCCTTTGGTTACTCTGTTATAGTTACACTACCATTTTTTAATTATCTCCATTGCCATTTCTTCCTTTCTCTGAGTAGTCTGTAGCTGCCTAAATATCCAGTAAGTCCATAGTAAGATTCAAAGTAAAGCAATCATCAGAACTACAATGGAATAAATTTTAAAATTCAATATAATACATTCATGGGGAAAAACTTTAAATATGTAATACCAATGATGAATGAGTAGAGCAGATTCTTGCTTAGCAATGCACAAAAATTCTCCTTCCTCATACATTAGCTCTACTGCTGTGTTGTCTTTAATGCTTGTGCTTTCTCTGTCTTAAACGTTCTGAGACCCTGTATGCCTGAGACTGCCTTTATTACTCCCTATACAAAAGTCCCTTCCTTTCAACACTTTGGAGTTGTATCTCCTTGCCTCCAGTGTTTGAGAGATCTGATGTCAGTTTAATTATTCTTTCTTTGTTAATAAACTACTATTTCTCTCTGGATGTTTTAAAAATCACCTTTGCTTATCTTTCATAATCTTAAATGTCTGGGCATGGTGTATTGTGTGTGTCTCATCTATTCTGTTCAGCACACTATGATCTCTTTAAATATTAAGTCATCTAAATCTGAGAAATTCTCACTCATTTATTTAAGTATTCCCTCCTTTCTGATCACTATATTCTATTCTTAGGAGGCTACTATTAGATGGGTTTTGACCTTTATACTTCTATTCTCCCTATTAATTAACTTTTTCTTCATTTATTCCATCTCTATCTATTCCTGATGACTTTTATTGCTTTTTCAAATGCACCCACTTTAATGCCCAACCTGTTCCACTAAATTATTTATTTGAGCAATTAATATCCAGTATCTCTAATAGTTCTTCTATATAACAGTTCCTGGAAAATGTGTAGCCTGGATACTCCATGTGAGGTTGAGGGTTTGGAAGTTGATATATCTTAAATTAGAGAACCTTTAGAGCTGCCCTCTGGGTTCAGTCAAACCTTCTTTCCCCTCTCCAGCCTGATTCCCCAAGGAAGCTTCCGGGACTTCAACCTTAGCCACCAAGTGAGAGTATTAAAGCAGTACAGGGGTAGGGGTGTTATTCATTGTAATTGCCTAGCCCAGAGGGTGGAGGGAAGGCTTGGGAAGAAATGCATAGTTACTAGCCAGCCTGACTACACTTTTTCTATGAGCTGTCCAACCCTACTATGACTTGATGTAACCATACTACCTCAGACTAGCACTGGGTGAGCCCTACCACTTTTCTATTCTGTAGTGTTTATAGGACAGGTAATGAGCCTTCCAGAAAATATGAGAAAAGGACACAATTAGATAGCTCCACCTCAGCTTATCCTCCATTTATGGACTCTGACCTTTTCCCACTCTAAGCCATCTCATCCCTCAGTGGAGACCACACCAATAAGTCTTATTGCTGGGAACCGTTCTGAAATCCAAACACCTCCTCAACTCTTCTGTGGCACCTGCAGGATTGGGTTTGGGGAAAGAAGCCAACAACTATTGTTGGTTCACCATCTTCATCTAAAACTAGATATGGCTTTACATTTTAATACTAGACATTTCAAGTCATTACTAACAATAATAAATATATATAGCACTTACCACATGACAGGTGCTATTCTAAGTGCTTTATCTATATTAACTCATTGAATCATTATAGCAATCCAAGGAGTTAGATACCCTAGTTATTCCTGGTTTAGTCTTGAGTAGATTGAGGCACAGAAAGATTATGTCAATTACAAAAGGTCATATAGATAGTAAATTGAGAAGCCAGAATTTGGACCCATGCAGCCTCGCTTTAGAGTTTGTACTCTAAAAGGCTAATGCTCTTAACTCTTCTACAATTCTACCATTAATTAGCATCTATGTCCATCTTTTAAACAACACAAGAACTCTTTTCTTTTCTGTCCTTCCTCTCATCTCCCATGTTTATATTACCTGGAATTTTCATTCAGGATTGTAATTTTTTTTAAATTTACAATCAAAATTTAGACTTTTCAATAAATTTTACTGTTTTCCCCCAGCCACCATTACTTATAGGAACCCCCTCCTTCCTCCTAAATCAATTTTTTTCTTCTTGATGGATCATATACCCTAATAATTCTTTCAGAAAGGTATGTGTGTGATAAATTTTCTGAAAGATTTTTGCTCTCTTCCAGATTATCTTAGCCAGATACAGATAGGTTCAAAGTGATTTCTCATCAGCTCTTTGAAGAACTCCTCTACTGTGTTCTCTCTTCTCTTTTCCCTCTGGGACCTTTCAGGATTTTCTCTTTATCCTTTAGGTTGTTCTCTTAAACCTAAAAAATTTATTTCTAGGGTGTATGTGCATACGTGTGTGTGTGTGTGTGTTAATCATGCTCATAACTCAGTGGCTCTTTTCAATTTGAAGATTCGTGTCTTCATATAATTTTCAGGTGTCACAATTTTTTTTTTTATTTATTTCAATTGATTAGAAATGTGCAAATCATTCTTAACTCAGGGGCCAAAAATAGGCAGTGAGCTGAATTTCTCCTGTGGGCCACAGTTTGCCCATTTTTGTGCTAGAACTTCAACTCCAGGGATTATTGCCCTCTTGATTCACTGCTTTATCTCTAGCACCTAGAACAGTGCCTGGCACCCAGTAGGCTCCCAATAGATGTTTTTTGAGTGAGAAAGTGAATGAAACAATGAGTTGGGTAGCAAATTACTGAAGAAGTGGAGACGTGAGTGAACATATGAGAGCTGGCTCAGGTCCTCAATTTACCCCTCTGTGAACCTAAGCAAGCTCCCCCAAGAAGTCTTAGAAAGAAATCAGAAGGCTGAGGCCAGAGTTGCAATTTAGCATCTTTATTCTTCCCCTTTATCTTGAGGGTAATCCTGACAAACAGCTTACACCAGGAAGAGGCAGAAAGAGCTAGGCTGGACAGAGGCTCCCCAAGGACCTGGCCTCTGCCTCCTTCTGTGGAGTTAGGGTTAGAGTTAGGGCCATGATCCAAGTTCAGCATCCCTGGGAGGGAGGACAGTGGACCACTCTGTAGCCTCTGTGGCCCCCTGCCTCTGATAGCCATGTTAATGGGAACCAGCCACCTCCAACGCCAGGCAGGAGGGACCTGAGAGAGTGGCCTCATCTTCCTCCACATGCACAGGCATACAGGGGCCTGGCTGGAGCAAGGCATGGTCAGTGTCCAGACACATGGCTCTGGCCTGTAGCCCAGTTGGCAAACATAAAGCCTAGACTGATTGCCATGAAGAGGACCCCCAGGACACCAAAACACAGAGCCTGTGGACGAGAGAGAAGGTGGGGCTGGTTGGGTCTCCACACCCGAGCTCCTCCTGAGAATGTTCTTCAAGCCCTCCACCCCCTCCAGATAATGTCCATTCATTTCTAACCCTCCTTTGTGCTCCCTCTCCTTCCTTAAAGCCAGCCCCCTCTAATGAATCCTCATTCTATCTTCCTATAACCCTTCAGGGAGTACTCTCCTCCAGCCTCCTTGAAAGTTCTTTCGACCCTCTTCTAATGGTGCTCCTTCTATTTGTCTGGAGAACACTCCTTTTATGCCAGCCTCTTCTTCAGTGTCCCCTCTGTCTTCCCAGAATCTGCTGGTGCTCGGTTTTCCCAGCCTCTTCCTAAAACAATCTCCTTCATTCTTTCAGACCATCTGCCCCCCTTCCCTGGATACACCCTCTTTCCCCAGCCCTCCCCTGGAAAGCTCACCTGGATCTTGGGCCAGGAGGAGAGGGGCTCCACCTCAGAGGGTACAATGCGGAGGTAGAAGACACTAGGAAGGATGAAAATGAGGCTGGGGGCTGAGGTGGACCCTGGAGGACAAGCAGGAGGAACAGGAGTCAATGTAAGTTTGGGGCACAAGGCCCATATTATATGCGGTCTGAGACTGGGGTTGGGATACTGACCAATAACTCCAAAAATATCCCGGATGGTCGGCACGCAGATGACAAGGACGTTGACCAAGAAAAGCAGGATCAGGGCTATAGCCACATGCCGTGGCCAGCTGAAGGCCTTACTTGGGAAGAGCAGCTGCTGCAGGGCCCGGCGGATCTGTGGCCAGAGTATAGTGGGACATGAGTCAGGCCCAAGTGCTGCCTCCCACTCCACATGGTCATGTCTTTAACTCCACCCTGTCTGAGCATCACTTTTGCCTCTACTCTCTGTCTGAGATCCTGACTTCCCCTCGTTCTCTCTCCACGCTGTCTGACCATCTATCTGTGCCTCTACCTTCTGAATGAGCATCTGCCTCCCTTCTGATAATCTATACCTTTTCCTTCTGTCTGATCATCTATGCCTCTACCCATTGTCTGAAATCTTTGCCTCTTCCTCTATCTGACTATTTGCGCCTCCCCATCGGACCACCCACTTATCCTTCCACCTTGAGATCCCTGCCTCTTTTTCCATCTGATTACCTCTATCTCTCTCTTCTGTCTAGTCATCCCACCTCTCCATCTGAGAGCCTTGTCCCTTCTACACCTCACTACTTCTGCCTCTACCCTTTTTCTGTCCATCCCTGTTTCTTTATTCTGATTATCCATCTATCTATGCCTCTACCCTCTCTCTGACCATTCCTGCCTCCCTCTTCTGTCTAGCCAGACATCTGTGCCTCCTCCCTCTAACTACTACCCCTGTCCCCTGACTCTCTCTGTCCTCCATCTATGGCCTCCTTCTGTCTGACCATCTATTTTTGCCTTCTTTGTTCATCTGACAACTCTGCCTTCCCTGTCTGTCTATCCCTGCCTCCTCCATCCATCCATCCACTCCTATCTCCACCATCTATCAAAACATCCATGTCTATGCCCTCTGCCCATCCATCTGTGTCCCTCTACTCCATGTGACCCCCCTCACCCTCACGCACAGGGAACAGTACGACTGGCACAGTGAGAGTCACCGCGAGCAGCACCGCCAGGCGCACACAGAGAATGAGCAGGTCTTCCTGGCTGTACATGTGCAGCATCTCCGCCTCCACGCTGCCTGGGCCATGGGACATGGGAAATAAGATGCTGGGTGTGCTAGATGCACCAGGACCAGTGTCCCAGAAGCACACGCACAGAGTAACAAAATCTACATGCATGATGCATACCTTCCCTTTGGAAACTGATGGGTCCAAAGGCATGGAGAGAAAATGCTCAGGTTCCTGCCCCAGTAGGCTTCCCAGTCCCACTCACCCAGCTCCCACCCAACCCTTGGACCCCAGCCCCACTCACTGTAGAAGGTGAGGTATCCAAAGGTGGCTGTGAGCCCATACATGCAGAACATGGCACCGATGGACACATTGGCCACAGCCTGCATTCTGTGCTTAGAGGGCCTGAAGTATAGAGGTCATGAAACTGTCATGCCCAGACCCCTGGACTTGGTCCATGTACCTCAGAACCAGCCTCCACCTTCTCCTTCTCCCAGAGCTGATGTTCAGCTGGTACATACCGGGGTGTCCATTTCTGCCTCCCCTGTGTGACTAGCCTCTCCTATCTGTCATCCATATCTCATCTCATATGACCATCTTTGCCCATCTCCTGTGTATGACCATCTCTGCTTCTCCCCTCCATTTGACTGTCACTGACCCTCCCTTCCATCTGACCATCCATGCCTGATTATCTACACATCCCCCATTATATCATCCCTGCTACCCCTTTTGTCCATCCATACTCCCTCCATCTCATCATCTCCATCTCCCTATCCCCATCCATGCATGCCACCCCCTCCATCTGATTATCTCTGCTGCCCCACTCTGTCCATTCACACTTGTACTGAATATTAAAAGAGTAGAACACTTAAGTCCCAATCAGTAAACAGTCACTGCCCTGTGTCCCCCAAGGCTTCCTGGCCACTTCAAACCTCTCCCTTGGCAAAATCTACAATCAATGATCAAACTACAGTTCCAGGACTGCTGAAGGGATTGTCAAACATTATATTGCCCAACCTGCTGGCCCATCATGCATGCCCCCCTGCCTACTCACCGGCAGAGCTCTGTGTAGATGGGCAGCACCTCAGGGTGGCAGACAAAGGCAAAAGCCATAATGGGCACTGTGTAGAATATCTGAGGGAATGGCCCAAGTACATGAGATTAGAATCTACAAGGTTCCATCCCCTCCTCACCATGCCCCTGGTCCCACCATTGCCTTCCACATAAGACACTTGGAAGTCTCCAATGTCCAATACATGGCTCCACTCTGAGAAGAGTGCACTCTGTGACAGGATCAGAGGGCCTGAGTGTGGTACAAACCCTATCGGTCTGCACACCCACCTGTGAGTCAACTGTGAACATCTCAGCTTCACAGCTTCTGTTGAGCCCCTGGATGGGAAGGCCTGGGGGGCTCTTGCTCTCCACTGCTGTCTCATTGCGGTCCACAGCACAGCCAAGCTGGAACTTCTTATAGATGACCTGGAGTAGGAAGGGTGGGAAGCGAGGTTACAGGGAAGGCTATGTCCCAACCTCCCAGACTCTCTCTCTACTTTTCAAGTCTTTCTCTCTCAGACTCACCGAAATGAGGAAAAACAGCATGCAGGTAAGAGAGAGACCACTGGTATATCCCAGGTAGCCTGCAATGGGCAATAACACAGAGCCTCAAAAATTAAGGAACCCCTCATTACAGCAAATATTAAACCCCTAGTCTGTCCTTCAAAACCCCCTCACCCAAATTATGCCACATCTTTGCATAAGCTTTTAATTCTACCTGGACCAACCTCCGTCCAAAGCAAACTCCTATTCATCTGTTAAAACCCACATCAAACAAGGTCTTCCCTGGTATTCTACAGCCCATGAAAATGGGGATTCTCTCAATCTGGCTCCCCTTCTCTAACCCCACTATCCAATGACTAACACAGGAAGCCTCTTACCCAAGTGTCTCATGAGGGCCAGTGGCAGGATGATTAACACACTGACAATAATGATGAGGAGGTTTCCCTTCAAGAACCAGCCCCTAGGGAGAAAGGTAACCATAGTGACTAGCTGTCTGACAAAGAAAACTGTCAGGGAGATGCTCATATCAAATCTGTCTGTCAATCTGGACAGACGAATTTCTGCCCACAGTCAGGAGAGATGAGCCAACACCTCAGCTGTGAGAAGTGATTCAGATGGTTACAATGATGACAGAAGATTTACAGAAATAGCCAGACTGATTATCAGACGATCAATTGGACACTGTCAGAGGGATACAGCTGACAATACATGCACAGTTAAACAAAACTGCCATCAGACTTTCAAGTGGACATACAACTAGATGAACAAACAACATCCCAAATCAGTCAGACTTACATAGTCCAACAGAAAGTGCCAGACAAAGAGTGTGTCATGACCCTGGTATGTCTGACAGGTAGAATAACAATCTGATGATCTGATAGGCAGACAACAATGCAGAGTCAGATAAAAAGTCAGAAACATACATGTGTAGTTGTTTGAACAGCTCAAGGTTTGTTAAACACCTGAAGTAACTGGACCAATCTGACCACATGACCAAAGACAGAAATAGAGACAGAATCAGTAAACTGGCCACATTGTTGGAACTGAGCTCAAAGAAAGAGTGGGATCTATACAGATATTGGAGGGAGGTGCCCAGGCAAGACAGTTAATACAAAATCAGCTGATCAATTGTTCATTTGTCCAAAAGAATTTTATTGACTGCCCACTATGTTCCAGGCATTCACATGCTCCCTTTCTATCTCATACACAGTTACACAGAAATAAACCAACAAAGCATCGTTGGCCATATATCCATGGGAGCTAATTATAACAATTAGACACACCTAGTTGCATAGACTGCCAGCTACCTGGATGGTTTCAGAATCAAACCAAAGAATTAATATGATACACAGAGTCAGCCATCATATACAAACAACTGAATAGATTCAGCTAGCAGATGGATTCAGAATCAAACATGCAGTCATCTGGATGCATACTCAGAACAATAGTCAACATACATGGTTGGAACGATATAGAAGATTATATACAGTCAGAGGTGAAGATCACACACACACACACACACAATCAAAGAGAATTTGCCAAAACAATGGTCACCATATTAAACAGAGATGGTGTCTACTGGCACAAACAGTTGGAGCACATCACAAATACATAGCTGGTACCACAGTACACAGCACACAAACATACACACACACCATTGGAGTCAGTGACTGTAGAGACAAGAAGAGAGATAGATTCATCCAGTCTGTTGGACCCAGAATCAAACAGAATCCACTGGACAAGTAAAGAAATATCAAACATACATGATTGGAATCACAGTATATGAGGCACAGCTATAGTCAACTATCATACAGCTGGCCAAGAGAACCTACCAGTATAACAGTCACAGAAGCAAACCCACAGAGTTTAGGTCTACTAGATAATACAGTTACATGGTCAGCATCAGAGTACATTGGACATAAAAAGTCAGCTACCAGACGGAATCAGCTAGAACAGTCATGAAATCAACACATGGTCTACTGGACTCTATAGTCAGAGCCACAGTCACACATACTGTTGGCATCATAATACACAGGAATCAAAGTCTGACCAAATTGTCCTGCCCAACAGTCTCAAAATAGAACACCTGAGACACAGAGTTGAAGACAGCAGCTGGACCTATGGGCCAGAGCCAAAGGGTGTTGCCCACTCACCCCTCGGGATCCATGTCCAGGAAGGTGCCAATAACCAGGGGGAGTTCGGATTTGATGATGAACAGGTAACTGGACATGGCTGGTACGGGTAGAAGGAGGTGAAAGCAAAAGGATTTTTTTCGTCCCCCTACTCCATTTTCCCTAGCCCAGCCTGGGGAAGCCCACCTCACCACATCCCCTTCCTCCAAGCTGACTCCCCACCTCCCAGAGTCCTCACCCCCAACATTGTGCAGACAGATGACTGCAGCCACCACTACCTTCCCCACAGGCCCCAGTGCCCTCTGTCCCAGCTGCTCATAGGCTCGGATGCCTGTGGGGGGAGGAGACAGGAAGGAAAAGGTTGTGGGTCCAGGTAGCCAGTACAGGGGTGAGGAGTGGGGTCCAGAGGATCTGGGAGCTAGAGAGTTGGGGCTTGGGGTAATTGGGTTTGATTGACAAGGGCTAGAGTTGAGGGTTAAGCAGTAAGGTTTGGGCCTGGGGTGGAATCTGGGAGTTGGGATCTCTGGCCAGGAACTGGTGGGCAGGGAGAAGGTTGGGGGCTGGAGGTGGGTAGTGGGATTCTTGGGACCAAATCACATATACATGGTCTGAGACCATGGTAGGAGTGAAGTGTGAGATCTGGGGCAGTAAGGACTTGGAAGCTGGGATCTGAGGAGCGGGGGTCTTGAGGTTATGCAGCTGGCTTCCATGGTTAGGAGGAGCTAGAAAACTGACAGATGGGGATTAGAGGTGGAGTGTAGTAGTCTGGTAGTGGGGAGGATCTGAACAATGGAGTTTGATGGCCAGACCCCACGGCGAGAGTTGGGGATTGGGGGCTAGGGAAGTGGGAGCCCAGGCAAGGTCTGAGGGCTAGGATGCAGTCTGGGGTCTGGAGTCCAGGGAGTTGAGTGTGGAGTCTGGGATCCTAGGTCCTGGATCTGGAGTCAGAGTGGTATGTCCAGAGTCTGGGGTTTGGGTTAAAGTCTGGGGTCACAAGTCAGTGGGGTAGGTCCAGGGTCTAAGGTCCAAGGTCTTGGTTGAGCTCCGGATCTCACCTACAACACCGGCACAGGTCAGCAGGAGATGGATGGAGTATGAAGACAGAAGAGCAATGCACAGCAGCAGGGCCCTGTGGCAAATGGCACAACTCAGACTTGCCACCCAGGCCTCCCACCTGCCCCACAACACCCCTGCCCCCCAAGCCACCTAGGACTCACAAGAAGAAGAGGACCCCTGTGTGGGCCATGGCATAGGCCAGCCCCAGGATGCCGCTGCCCATGATGGCGTTGCTGAGGTTGAACACTGACATTCCAAACGATGTCTTCCCCTCAAACTGCAGGTAATGGGCAAGGCCCGGGCACACATGGGGAGGGGGACCAGGTAAGGAGACCAGTTCTGGGGCCCAGGAAAGACTAGGGTAGAAGTGGCTGGGGCAGGAGTAAGCCCAGGAAGGGCCAGAGGAGAAACCAAGAAGCTAGGAAGAAAAATGAGTTGAAGACAGGAAAAAGCTAGGAAAAGGAAAGCTAGGAATGGGAAAACTAGGAAAAATTTTGGAGGGGAGCATTTGGAAGTGGAGAAGAACAGGAGAGGGCGGAGTGGCTACCAGAGGCAAAACATCTGGAGAGAGGAGTAGCTGGGGATGGGGCGCAGCTGGGGCAGTAAATAGCTAGGCCGTGGAACAGCTGGGGAGGGGGAGTAGCCAGGAAGAGGGAGGAGATGAGCTCCACAAGGTACAGTTGGAACAGATCCTGTGGGGTCAACTCACATCCATGAACTGGGCCGGCTTCCTCCCAGGAGCTGGACTATGGGTGGGCAGGAAGCTCTCACGTTCCTGCCTATAGCTGGAGAGGGCAGAGAAATTGGGGTCGATGAGAGAGAGGGTAATCTTGACTCCCTGACCTCAATCCCTTGGGCCCTGACTTACCCCACAGCCCCCGCAGGGGGGGCTCCATTCATCTTTGGATCCTGTAGTTCCATCCTGTGGAAAGAGAAATGAGGTAGGGGTCAGACAGAGCAGGAGTGGAGGGGGAGCTATAAAGTGGAAGAACTACGTGAAGGGGTTAGTGATTCAGATAGAGAAAGACAGAGAACAGATGAGGCAAGGGGAACAGGAACAGGGGAATGGGAGAGATGGGAAGATAAATGGAGAGAATCCGAGACAAGAGTGAGAGGCTGAGAAAGAGGAAAAAAGGGCATCAGAGGAGGAGAGAAGCCAAGTTACTTAGACATAGAGAAAAGAGGGCAGCAAGAGATAAATAGGGTGGGGGAGAGAGAGAGAAATATAAAGAAAGAGAGAAACCAACCCTACAGCAGACCAAATGGCCATTTGGAGCTGGATAACCTCTCCTCCAAGACCCCAGACTCACTCTGTCATCTTGCTGTCTGTTCCTTTCCTTCCCCAGTCCCCAGCACACATACCCGCTTCCTCTACCCTTACCTTGTGGCCAGGCCTCAGTCCTTACAGAGACACATGTCACCCTACTGCCCCCTATGCCCCTACTCTCCCTCCTCCCAGCCTGGGCCCCAAGCCAGAGCCCAGAGCTGATGCAACCTATCAACAGGGCTGGGGGTGGGGTACAGTCTCAGAGACCCCAGCCCCTGACACTGCGAACTCTGCCACAAGTCTGAATATCCCCACTAGAGGCCAGAGATAGTTCCCCAACTGAGTCCCTTCCAGGGACAGAGGGGACCCGGGGACACCCCCCCCCCCCTTTAATCTCCCTTCTAGGGACCAGAGGTATTTTCTAGGACCCCTGTCAAGTCTTAAACACTCCTCTTCTGACAGAAGTAACTTTGGAGCCACTTGCAGACTTGAGATCCTTCCTGGGCTTCGGGTGTCTCAGGAACCTGGCCCGAGCCTGAGCCCTAATTTCCTCTCCTGAGGATGAGCTGTCTCTGAGACCTTCATCAAAAGCCCCCTCCAGAGCCTGATGTGTTTCTGCGGTGGGGGTGGGTGTCTCTGCGATCCCCAGGCCAGCGTACAGCCCCTGTCTTCTAAATAGAGTGTCTCTGAAGAAACTCCCAGCCCTGGGCTCACTTCCTGGGAACCCAGTAGCTCAGAAACCCCCATTCCAGGTGCCCATCATTGCTGAAACTGCCTCCAGGAGACCCCCGCCCGAAGCCCTGAGTCCCCTTCCTGGGAAGGAGAGAGTTCTCATGGAGCCGCATCCTCAGGTGCAAGCACTCTCTGAGGACTCCTACCCACTATTGAATTTACTTCCCGGGATCAAGGTACCAAGGGACTCCCCCTCCCATTCAATTCCCCCAATAATGCTAAAAAGGTCTCCAGGAAACCCCTGAGTCCCTTCCCAGGACCGCCACTCATGTCTCGAGGTCTCTGAAGCCCCCTCCTCGCCCCGGCCAGGAGTTCCTCTTCAGCTCCCTGCTCTTCTCAGCTCCAGAAGCGACAGGGCTCCTGGAACCCAAGGCTGGCGCGGCTGCCACTCACTGGACCCTGCCCCTGCCCCCCGCCCCACCCAGTGGCCAATCAGCGCCACGGCACTTGCTCGGTAGCAAATCAGCACAGCCCGCGGGCCAGCGGCCCGCGGATTTTTTTTTTTTTCTGAGAAGTTTTAATTTTAATTCAGTTTCCCTCCTTCTGGCTCTGGGTTGGGGAAGTAGTTGGGGAAGGCGGGCGCCCCGCCTCATCTGGACCCACGTGGAGGTGTGTGTGCGTCTTAGTTGAGAGGGCATGGGAGGGGGAAGATAGATTGAAGGAGTAGATCCACACCCAGCAAGAGAAACAGGAAGGCAGAAGGAACTGCCTCAGGGGTCATTTACACAGCGAGATAGGATGGAAAGAGGGAAGATATGCAGAGAGGAGCTACAGATAGTAAGAGAAACAGTGACAAAGACAGGCAGGCAGGAGGACAGACAACAGAGAGGACAGATAGTGTAGTGAAGTAGTAGAAAGACAGACGGGCACTCAAGGAGAGAAAGGAACTACAGACAGATTCAAAAACAGAGGGTAGGCCCATGCAAGCACCTGGAGGAAGGCAACAGGCAGTAAGGCCCAGTAATAAACAGGAAACACAACTGGCAGGTAGACAGGTGGACATAGCCAGACACATTCCCAGACAGAGGCTGGGAACAGACACACCAGCCCAGAGAAACAAGGGAGCACAGGGAGTGACTGAGGCAGAGGGACACCTGGAGAGACAGATGACAACAGATAGAGAAAGTCAGATTAGGCAGAGGGACAGACAAGGTAGATGGACAGATCTGGTGACAGCAATGGGACAGGTGCAGGGATAGAAACAGCCAGGCCACTATAAGATGACCTCAGACAACCTGGCCAAGAGAGGACCATAGATTTTGGAGGTCCCCAGAGAGAAGAGAGGGCATTTGTGGTTGGGTGGAGAGTGTGGATGCTGCTGTCTGCAAACTAGGCGCACCCTGAAGTCATGGACCCAGCCCAGACATTGGGTGAGGCCTGTCCACACCCTAACTGAGAAGCCCCACTGTCTGTCTGCCTGTCTGTCTGTCTTATATGGGGTTATGTCTGTTCACTCACATCCAGGCATGTGACAGGCATGTCTGTCCCAGGCAAGGAGTGGTTCTTCTGCAAGGAGGAAGTCAGGCAGAGTGGACTTACAGTCCAGGCCCAACTCAGCTGGGCTGCTTGAGGCTCAGGTGGACAGGAGGTCTCTGTCCGGCCCCTCCACCGGTCTGCCCACCCCCCACAGGGAGCACAGAATTCCCGGAAAGGCCAAGGGCTGGCTGGAGCTTCAAAGCTAGCCTAGATGCCCCCACCCTACTCACAGTTGGAGAAGGGCAGGGGATGGGCGTGTGCTTTCCCCAGGAAAGAGATTCATGCATACTCGAGGATCACAGCATCATCCAGGGGCTCAGAGATGGAGGCAGACTCACCATCACTCACAGAGGTACAAACAAATTTGTGTGCAGACTCACAGCCGCACACAGAAAATACAGGCTGACAGATGTGAACACACACAGACTACACACAGAGAGCCCAGGCCATGGTAGTCACACACTCACAGCTGCACAAGGTGACTTAATCTTACAGGCATCATCACCCACAGCCTCAGACCCCACCCGGAGAACACAGAGTGACACAGAAATAGGGTCACACCAAGCCACTGTAGATTCACTGACATCACTACCCACAGACTCACAACCACACCCAAGAGAACCACCAGGCAAATCACACACAGACTCACAGCCACACACAAAGTACACAGACAAATCTGATTTCATACAGCCAACATTATACACAGGCCCAGTGTCTCCCATACACGCTTCCAGATTCAGATGGCCCTAGAGGCCAAAGTCCAAATTCAGGCTTTACAATAATAATTCTCTGCATTTCCACTCATATATGAACTTGCGACCATATGCAACCACATCCAGTTCTGGTCACAGAAGGAGGTACTCACAGCAGACACGATTGTACAGACAGTTAAGCCACAGTCACAGACACTCACACATCTGCCTTTAAGCAGATGACTGCAGATAGCCATGTATACGCACAGCTATTCACAAATCAAGTCAAAGAAGAAACACGTGGAGAACGCATAGACAGGTGCGCAATCAGGAAAAGCAGAATGCAGAGAGTACTCTTCCTATTGTTACAAAGAGGATATGTAGAAAATACACCTAAAGCTGCATGAAGAGGAAACAGGAGAACCAGATAGTACGCATACAATAGCACCAAAAGAAACACCTATAGAGCATACGCATTTACAGCTACTTACCAAGGAGAGACAAAAGCACAATGGCAAAGAAGAAAGACACATACATAGGAGACACATTCACAGAAGAGATAAACATATCCACAAGCATTACAAAAGAGACACATAAACACCTAAGGAACACACACAGACATACACACACACATGGCCCCATATGGATGAATTGCCCAAGCAGACAGTATGGACACACACTGATGCCAAAAAGGAAACACACAAATTAGAGAGGCATAGATACAAGATACAACCAGGCAGTTTACATAGGAAGACACATGTGGAGCACACATATGTGTGTTTGTAGCTGAGAACATGTACAGGCAGATGAGATGCATTTGGGGTATTCACACACACACACACACTCACACACACACACACACACTCACACTACCCTGTCTATCCGGCCTACTCTGATGTCTCTCTCCTCCTCCCCCCAGAACCATTAACATCCATGCTACAGGCAGGTTAGGAAAAGAGACACCTGTCAGCAGAGGCCTTGGCCCAGGTGGCTAAGGAGGGGGAGAGCTAGGCAGGTGTCTAGATTTCAAGAAAAATCTGAAGTGTCCTGTCCAAAGAACTAGTGTACCTTGGACAAAACACAGATACCTCCCATTCACCACCTCCCGGCAATAGCCTCCTGCTCTGATCACTACCTTCCCCTCCCAGGGCCTTCCTGGCCCTCCAACATTGCCCAGCACAGAGCCAAAAGACAAACAGCAGGTGCTCAATAAATGCCACTTATCAAGTGTCATATTATCATCATTGTTATGTATATTTCTGCCAAGTGAACTCTCCTAGGGGAGGGACAAACCTTCATCCAACTCTGCATCCCATAGTGAACTAAGTTGCAGGAGAAGTCAGGCAGAGTGGACTGCAAATAGCAGGTGCTCAACATATGCTGGTAGGAGGGAACACAAAGGGAAAGTGAAATCTGGCTGCAGAGGGAAGTCTACTTTGAAAGGAACAGATGTCTTTAAGTTTGACCTAGACCTTGAGGCTGTGCCAGGGATAAGAAAGTTTTATTAGTTCATCATGGTAGGGCCCTTTCTCAGGGTCATATAAGACTTTTGTTGGAAGCAGACCCTTGGGTGACATTTGAGATTCTTATTAAGGCTCTTAAAAGTCAGTTTGGGTTCTTGTCAGTTCTTCCAAGCAGACCCCTGCTTTTCATTAAAACGGGTTACTTTTCAGAAGCCTTCAGGGGAGGGAGCCACAGAGCAAAACAGTTAACAGCGTGAGCTTTCCCAGCTCTGCCACTCATTAGTTGTGTGGCCTGGAGCAAGTTCTGAAACCTGACAGTCTCAGCTTCCCCCAGGGCGTGATAATGCCTAACTCATAGGGCCATTGGGAAGATTGAATGAATACAGGTAAAAAGCACTTAGAACAATGTTTGACATACACTAATTGCTCAATAACGTATTTGTGGAAGGGATTAATGAATTCTTTTTGGCTATGAAAGCAGCCTCTCACTGACTGCATTTGGGATTCTAATCTCACTTTCATGCAGACCCCTCACTGAGTAACTCTTCTGTCCCTCAAAGCAGCCGCAGGGCAACAAGGCTTTTTGAATAAGTGTCCAGTCCTCTGTGCCTGGATCACCCCAGTCTATTCCTCTAGCGGTGATTTGCTCTCCAGTACAGAGCTGACCTGGCATCTTCCCCTTCCTTGACCTCTTCAGAAGGCCGAGGGGAGGACACCTATCCACTCAGTGGGGTGCTGGGTGAGAGCTGCAGGCCGACACCCTACTTCAGGAAGAGCCTGGGGAGTTCAGAGCCTGGTTCCTATCCCCCAATCCCCTGGCCCTGCTGGAGGAAGCAAGTTTCTTTGTAAAAAATTAAACATCCTCTTTGTGAGAGGCAAGAAAACAGGATGTGTGAAGCGTCCCACCGGGTGAACATGGGCCTCCAATGCCTAGCACCCCCTCCTCTCAGTGGAAAAGCGGCTGATGGCTGAAAAACTTGCTCATTTCTGCAGGCATGTTCCCACCACCCCCACAAGGCCCTTCAGCTCCCCTGACAAGCCTTTGCTTCCTCCCTGGCTCTTGGGGACTCCAAGTGTCTCTTTGTGTCTCTGTCTATGTCTACCATCTGTGTACCCCTCCCGGGGCCCCAAATAAATGCAGGAAAGAATGAACAGAGCAACAAAAGGGTGGATTCAACAAACATCTAACACCCACTGTGTGCTGGACCCTATTCTAGGTGCCTGGGAAGTAGCAGTGAACAAGACAGAACAGAAATCTCTGTCTAATGAAGCTCACATTTCTAAGGAATGATGAATAAATCGTTTAGTTCTTTAAATACTTGCCAATCTTGTTCCTACTTTGGGGTCTTTGCACTTGGTGTTCCCTCTACCTGGAATGCTCTTCCTCCAAATATTCCTAGGTTGTACTCCCCTTCAGGTCTCAACTAAGATGTCACTTCCTCTGAGATGCCTTCCCTGACCACACTGTCTGAAATAGCAATTCAATCCCTCTGTTACTTTCCATCCCTTTCGCCTTACCTTATTATTCTTCATAGCTTTTATCACCACCTGGCATAACATTATATATTAACATATTTAATAGTATATTTATATTTAGTACAGCTACTTTAGTAAGTAAATGTATATAGATAGATACCAGCATATTTATACATATCAGCACATGCATTTATATATATAAAATAACATATTTTATATATACACTATACAAAATGCATATATTACTATTATATATTTCCTTACATATAATAGCACATTTATATTTATTATATTTAATCAATAATATGTAATTTATATACTAGTAAATATTAATATATTAATATATTTCTATATAATCACATACATATTAAATAGCATATATGTTTATATACCTAATATAATAATATATAGCTGGTCCTCGAATAATGTCCTTTTGTGATACCATTGATGAGAAAAAAAATGAATTGATCCCCAGCCACTTTGTGGAATTTGCATGTTTCCCCATGTCTTCATGGGTTTTCTCTGGGTACTCCACTGACCTCCCACATTCCAAAGTTGTGCATGTTAGGCAAATTGACATGTCTAAATTTTCCCAGTCTGAGTGAGTGTGGGTATATATGTGAGTGTGCCCTGCAACGGAAGAACATCTTGTCTAGGGTTGGGTTTCATCTTATACCCTGAGCTGTCAGGATAGGTTCCAGTCACCTGCCACCCTGAACTGGAATAAGTGGGTTAGAAAATAATTACCTTACTTATTTTTATTAATCTTTCTCAAATGTTTAATATTTCAATGTTTAATATTAGAAGTGTTTGGGGGTCTTTATTTAGAAGTTTAGTGATGTTTTTGTGACCAGAAATATGCCGTAGGGACTTAACTCTTGTTTATATCAATTAGCCTACAGTAAAATTGGTTTCGTTCATTATAAGTCATTTTACTTAAAGTGGAAGTTTCCAAGAACATATCTATGATGTTAAGTGAGGACTTACTGTATATCCTCCCTTGTCTCTGTTTTCTCATCTGTAAACTGAGGATAAGCACAGTAACAACCTCACCTGGTTGTTTTAAGGATTAAAATTAGTTCAAGGAAAGGATTCAGCCATGCGCTAGAGCCTAGTTATACAGGTTTGCAGATTGCTTATTCAATTTTCAGGAATTTTGTGAACTGGTTGTTAAACATAGCTGTTGTTAAAAATGAAATGATATAAACTTACAATTAAATACATTATATTTTTAGAAGATGATATTCAAAACTCATCACTTATTATTTTACTACATTTCACTATTCTCTATGTTCTTGAGGTCATTTACCCCTATTTTCACTGTATGGTAGAAATATTACATAATGGTTCAGTACTGCATCTCTTCTGAACTGTTCCATGACTACATATTGGCAACTTGAAATCTATCAAGATGACAGTGTATAAACCATGGAAATAGGTAAATGTTTGGAATCGGGGTTTCCCCACCCTCTCTCTCAAAGAGCCGGTTATTAAGCATTTACCAGCACACCACTGAGAGCACTTAGAATAGTGCCTGGCACGTGGTAAACCCTATAATAAATGTTTCCATTATTATATTTGCTTGTGTACTGGGTGGGGATGTATAGGGTTTTGTGGAGGCGGGGGGGGTCGGAGTTAAAAACGTTTGAAGAACACAATTACAAAAGGCCAGACAGTGTGCTGAATTACACCTATTTATTCCTCCGTTAAGTTTATAGTACTTATTATCCCCATTTTACAGATGAAGAAACTGCAGTTCTGAAATGGTACAGGTCAGGCAGCGATACCACTTAACGGAAGTGAAATTCGAAATTGCAGCCCAGCCTCTTCACTGCGCTAGCGCACTTAATGCACACTCCTTCCTCTCACATTCCCGACCCCAGCGGTAATTTCACTTCGCAGCACGCGAGAAATAATGGGTGCTGTTGTACTCGTTGCATTTGGGGGAATGTAGTCCACAGGCTCAAAAAGCGCCGCTGTCCTATAAGGTAGCGGTGGAGAGTAATCAATCTTAGCCTTGGAACAAAAGAACAGTTTTTGTTCCTAGCGGCGTTTCAGTTACGCATGCGCGAGTTCAGCAGCTTTGCTTATGCCCGTTGCATGCTGGGAACCGCAGTTCTCCGGACCAGCTACGTCGGCACAGGCTGACGGGAGTCACGTTGTAAGTTCGGGTTGGGTCTGGACCTCGCCTGAGCCTACGCATTCCACGATGACAGGCTTGCCACGCTGCGGTGGCCCTTAGGTGTGCGCGACAGGCATTCGGATCAACTGAGAATACAAACCTAAGCCCTAAGATTTCTCACCGGTTTGCGCTCTCGCCTAGGCTCGGGCTGCTTGCGGACTGGCCTCCTTAGTCTCGCTTCTCCCCTCTCCGAAAGCTGAGGTAGGCCCTTGGGCGCGGAGAACGTGGGTCCAGGGCGAGACGGTTGAGGCACGACTGCCCTGTCCCACCAGCGAGGGAAGAAGGGAAGTTTGCCCTCAGCGCTGTAGCTTCTCAGTCTGGGCGGCTGACACCAGGTAGGCTACAGACCCAAGGTTTGTGTGTAGAAGGGGACCACTATTAAGAGGTGGCCTGGGGGGAGCAAGGGTCCGGACATCAGCGTAGCCACCTTGAGTGTGGTCTGGAGGCCCCAGTGGGGACGTAGTCTTTAAATTAAGATCGAGGAGGGAACGGGGGTGTGGCCAGAGTTCTGCTAATGGGAAAGGGGAACCGCGGTTAGTGTACTGAAGGTCTGGTAGGGGTGTTATCCGGGAATCAGTAGGGGCTGATAGAAGTGTTTTAGTCAGTAAGTTCATGGGGGCCAGTGAGGGTGTGTTCATTGATTAATGAGGGGGTGGTACAGTGGGCAACTAGAAGATAATGGGAAGCGGATGAGGGTGCGATCCCTGAGGGATTTATAGAAGTATGATTTCAACAGGTTAATGAAGAGCAGTGACATAGTAATCCAAGGATAATGGTGAGGCTATGGAGAGAATAAGAGGCTGGTGGGGGTCACGATCAAGGAACTAATGGAGGCAGTGATTAAAGAAGAGAATGAGAGGCTGAACGGGTATTATAGTCAAAGGCTTTTAGTGGGTGATCATGGCATGATCATCAGAAATTAATGGTAACTGAGCAAAGAGAGGGTAATAGTAAGGTGTTGGGTGTGATCATCAAGTGACTATTTGGGGCATGGTGGGCAGTGAGGGGGAAATGCAGAACTGATCATCCAGGATTAACTGAGTGTAGTAATGAAGGAGTTACAGGGGGCTAATGGTGTGATCTATGAGGAATCAATTGGAGGACCGAGTTAATAGGGACTGATAAATCAGTAATTGAAAGCTTAATGGGGAGCTAATAGGCCATGATCCTCCAGGTGTTAATGGGGATTGATAAGTATGTAATAATAAAGGAATTACTAGGGGCCTAATCATTTCAGGGATTAATAGGGAATGGGATAGAGAGAGAAATTAAGGGGGTGGGGAGTACAACGAGGTAGTATTTGGATAATGGGGATGAAAGCGAGGGATTAATGGGCGCTAATAAGACTTTAAAAATCTATGGGCAATGAGGACAGCTGGGAGACAGTGAGATGTTAATGGGGATGAGATAGGCAGAGAAAGGTTGATAGAGTCAACCTTTTTAATATGTGGAGTATGGGTGACAGCAGCGGGAGGTTGACAGGGTCAGTAATGGGTCATCTATGAGATAACTGTTGGGTTTGGGGTATCTGTGGGGGTGAGTGATGGGGGTACTTTGGGCTGAGTGGTGGGAGTTCCATAGGGTGAGTGTTAAAGACTGAGAGCTCAGTGCTGGAGTCCTTCAGGCTCTGTGAGGTCAGTGGAGTCAGTGACTGGGCTCCAGTCTTCCAATCTGAGTGAACTGTCATGTGGGTCAGATGAGCCCAGCTTAGTATATGTGATTTTTTGCTTCCTTTCAGAGGTAGGTGGTGGCCCACTCACGCAGTTACTGATATAGAGCGGCATCAGCTTACTGTTGGCAGGTCCCTGGGCAAACAGTGTGTGAGATGGGACGAACATCAAAGGACAAGCGGGATGTCTACTACCGCCTGGCCAAGGAGAATGGCTGGCGTGCCCGCAGCGCCTTCAAACTGCTACAACTCGACGAGGAATTCCAACTCTTCCAAGGTCCCCACCTGGTGGGCGAGTCATTGGGGGATGGGGTGGGCACAGGGAACAAACAAGTGGGCTAGGTCTGCAGAACTCCCTGTGGTAGGTGGGCTAACTTGGAGGGTCTGTGGGGCAGAGGCCAGTCAGGAGGGTGTGTAGATATTCAAGAGGAGTTGAGCCCCTGGGCAGCAGAAAGATGTTGGTATTCTATAAGGGAAAGGGATGAATTTTGCAGGGTCCCAGGGTTGGAGAGGTAGGTGCAACTGACCACTACACCTTCCTGTGTGTGCTCAGGCGTGACACGGGCAGTTGACCTGTGCGCAGCCCCGGGCAGCTGGAGCCAGGTGCTGAGCCAGAAGATTGGGTGAGTGTGGAGTCCCAGATGGGGGTCCTCAGAGGGCAAGCTAGGTGGGGGGAGGGCCAAGAGTGAAAACTGGGCTGACATGGGCTGTGTCATCCACAGGGGCCAGGGGTCTGGCCACGTGGTGGCTGTGGACCTTCAGGCTATGGCTCCAATACCAGGTGTGTTACAGATCCAGGGAGACATCACCCAGGTGAGAGCATGGCTGGGAGTGTTGAGGTGTTTCCTGGGTGAAGATCCCTCCACCTCGGCGGGGGGGCTGCAGAAAGTGGGAGAAAGAAAGAGAAAGACAGAGAAACAAACTGAGAAGGAAAGACAGAGATGGAGTAACTGAGACAACCCGAGAGAGTTGAGAAACAGCTAGCAGGTTGTCATTGCAGAGAAATGGCAATAATGATGGGACCGGGTCCCCAGAGGTGAAGCTCAGTCTTAGGCAAAGCCTGAGCATTTGACTGACCCAGGGCTTGCGGGCCAGGGCCATGGGCAAATGGGGTTAGAGGGCCGCAGCATGGGGGACTGTGGGACCACTCATCCACCCTCTCTTCCATAGCTGTCCACTGCCAAGGAGATCATCCAGCACTTTGAGGGCTGCCCCGCGGACCTAGTCGTGTGCGATGGGGCTCCCGATGGTAAACACAGGGGTTGGGAGGCCAGGTTGGGAGGCATGTTTGTCCTTCTTCCACCTTGTTGGTTTTTTTACCACTTCAACTCCTCCCTGCCTCTATTCTCCGCTGTCAGCTGTTTTGCACATCTGGCAACTTCTCCCTACCCTCCTGCCTGTTCTCTGCCTATCTTCTCCCTCCTCACACTCCACCACTTCAGTTTCGTCTGTTGTCCACCCTTCCGTCTTCTCATCGCTCATCTCCGCAGCTGTCCAGTTTCATCTTATTGCCCATCCACTTCTGTCAATCAGTTATCCATTCAGCACACATTTGCTGAGAACCTATTGTGTATCAGGCACTGTTCTACATGTTGGGAAGACATTTGTGAATAAAAGTCCACTGATCTCTGACTTCATAGAGCTGGTGTTCTAATGGGAGCAGATGGAAAACAAACAAATGATTGAGCTCTGTAGCATGTCAAAAGGTGATAGGTACCATGGGGAAATCAATGAAAAGGGAAGAGAGGTGGAGAATACCTGTCGGAATGTTAAAGTGGATGGGGAAGGCCTCACTGATGTTAGCACAAAAACCTAAAGGTGAGAGAGTAGCCAGGGGTGTGCTGGAGGAAGAACAATCCAGGCAAAGGGACCAGCCTGTGCAAAGGCTCTGAGGTGAGAGGGTGCTTGTCACGTGTGACCACCACCTTGGAGATCAGTATGGTTGGATCAGAGTGAGTGATAGGGAGAGTGGTAAGAGGTGAGGACAGTGAGGTGACAGGGGACAGATCCTTGTGTGCATCCTTGTGGGCCACAGTGATGACTTCGGCTTTTTCACTGAGAAGAGAGCTCAGAGAAGACCGTGAAAGGGTTATGAGTGGTGGAGGGCCATACCTGACTCTGGATTGTAACAGGATACCTCTGCCTGCTAAGAGCAATGTGAGAAGCCAGGGTGGAAGCAGGGATCTGGGGAGGAGGAAGCCACTGTAGTAATCCAGGTGAGTGATGACAGTGGTGGCAGTGGTAGAGACGAGAAGAGGATTGATTCAGGAGAACTTTTGAAAGTAGAGCTGACAGGATTTATTAATGGCTTAAATATGAGAGTGAGGAGAGAATGGGGGGATCAAAGGTAACTAAAGTGTTTGGCCTGAACAACTGGAAGGATCAGGTAGTATGGGGAAGAGGGTGGGAGGAGCATGTTTGGGCAAGAAGATCAGGAGTTTGGTTTTGGATGGCTTGAATCTTAGACGACTAGTCTGATCTGAATCTGGAGTTAAGAATCTGAACAGTTGTTCAGCCTCTTAAGAGTCTGGAACTAAGAGATAGAAATGATGACAAAGAAACTTGCAAATAAAGTTGTTTTGAAGATTAAAATGAGTTCCTAAAGGTTAGGAGCTTAGAATGTGTATCCAGTTGACATATTAATTTACATGCAGAACCTTAGCTGTAAGAGAGCCTGGGAAATGTTTTTAGCATTCTAACCTCTCTGGGACAAGAAGATAGCTAGAACTGGATGGCCCGCCTAACGCCATTCCTCTTGCTGCAGTAACTGGCCTCCATGATGTTGATGAGTATATGCAGGCCCAGCTCCTTCTAGCCGTGAGTAACCCTGGCTGCCCTTGCCTCAGTTTGGCCCCCTCCTGGCTGTCTCCACCTCAGCCTTAACCATCTGTCCTGCCCACAGGCTCTAAACATTGCTACACACGTCTTGAAGCCAGGGGGCTGCTTTGTAGCCAAGGTAAGCCTTGGGGAACCTGGTAGGGGGCAGAGAGGGGCCCCTTGAGGGCTGCCCTCATCCCTCTGTTTGCCTCACCACCCTGCAGATCTTCCGAGGCCGGGATGTGACACTGATCTACAGCCAGCTGCGTGTTTTCTTCTCCAGCGTGCTCTGTGCCAAGCCTAGGAGCAGCCGGAACTCCAGCATCGGTTAGTAGGTTGGAGGGGCTGCTCAGGCCAATGCAAATCTTGGGGACACATCCTGCCCAGGGCAGAGGTGGCAGTCACCCCTCCACATTCCACCCACAGAGGCCTTTGCTGTCTGTCAGGGTTATGACCCCCCTCAGGGCTTCTTGCCGGACCTGACCAAACCCCTGCTGGACCATTCTTACGGTGAGAACCAGAGCCCTGGGCCCTCTCCCTGGGGAGACTCTGCCCGCTTATGGAATTTACGTCTCAAGAAGGCCCTCAGCCCCACAGCCTGGTTGAGACTGCTCCTTATGGGAATTCTGTCCCTGGAGGATGCTCATCCAGTCTTCTGGTGGGAATTTCACTCCCATATGGACATTTTGTCCCAGGAGGATCTTCAGCCCAGTCCCCTAGTCGTAACTCTCAGACCTGGTGATATTCTGTCCCAGGAAGGACTTGAGTCATACTGCAGTGGAAACTCCACCCACCTTAGGAGATGTAGCCAGAAACTCAGTCTCACTCCCAGGTGGAAACACCACCCATGTGAGAATTTTGTCCCATGGTCCTTAGTGGGAAAAGGCACAGAGCCTGCTCTTATGGCGAGCACGCCTGAGTGAGACAAGGTCCCAGCAGTATATGATAGAATGGCAGGTGCACATAAAAGTGCAGTGCAGAAAAGTAGGGGGGCTGATGTTTTAGAAGGGGTGATCATAGAGGGCCTCCCTGAAAAGGTGATCTGAACGAAATGAAGGATTTCCGGTGGAGGAGGTAGCTGGTGGATACGAGGAGAGGACTCGGTGCCCATGATGCAGCCCGAG